AGTTGCCAAATTCTCCATCTCCCACGAAACAGAATTCACGGTAATCATACATGCTGGAGGCTGAGGTTTAACGCAGCCCAATATGCAACAGTCTGTCCCAGCCGATGCCTTTTTCCGTTTGAAAAGCTAAAACATCCCCAGTATGGATGCACATGAAAGCAATAATCATTCATTATGTTAACGATCTGACTGCTTTAAGATTTGCATAAAAACGCATGATCGCACCGGAAATCTTGGTTTGCATTACTGTCTAGGTTTGATTTTCCCATCCTCTCTTCGCCATGTATATATAATGTCTGCTAGCCCAGGCAGTACTGATATTCCTGGGGAGACTTGGCGGGAAACTTGCTAATTCGGGAACCAAAAAAGCTGCTATGCTGACGTTTTAGAAGGATGTTCCCTGTCCATGTGCAACCCAACTTTTTCCACTAAAGCTGATGATGTCGGTGTACTCGTAACAAAAAAGGTAACAGTTTATTGGGCAACAATTCTGGAAAGCAAACAAAAATAATGGATTTAAAACGAAAACAAAACCAACGATGCAAACAGCTGCTATGCTATAAAAACGGAGGCCTAAACACGCGCATAACAACAAAATTCTACTTACATCATAACAAAAGAATGATTTTTTAAGATTTTCGATCATCGAAGAACGATACCAAAAGTTGTGCAGCGGCATTTTTTCGATCAATGCGATCTTTTCGCGTCAAAAGCTCTTCTGTGCATAGTTAAAATTGCAAAAGAAGCTTCACTAAAATCTGATTCATCAGTCGATTACTTATCTGAAACGAGGTGATCCGGTGTAGCATACACTACGAAAAGATTCTTTTTTTCTCCACTTTTTTGGATTTTGCTTTTATGTTGTTGAAAAAAGATCGCATTTGATAAACGAGTAATGGTTTTTTTTACCGGACATCTGAACTCTGATCATTTCACATTTCTTTTAGTTACTGAAAATGCACATAAGCGATGACATTTCACCTCAAAAATGTCGACAAGGGGTTTTCGGAAGCATGATCTTCTTCAGATAGTCGTTGATTTAGGGCACTGTGCAATTCAGCCACTTTCTCTACGCCAATTTCGATCATTTCTTCTAAAAGTACACAGAAACAAACGTCATATAAAAAGGAAATCTGGAATTTCCGTGTTTTCCCGAGGGTCGAGGGTGTCTTTAAAGAAAGTTTTCAGTGGATGTGTGTCGTGAATGAACACGAAATAGTCTCAAGAACATGCACACTGAAGTATCCGATGGAAGCCATCATCGCTTTAGGGGAAACAAAAATCCCAAATTACCATTTTTGAGATGGGGGTTTGTGGAGATTTCATATGCAGAAGATCAATGCGAAATCAGATCGCAGTGCAATTCGATGCAAAAGCTACGAGATGTGTTGACTGCTAAAAAAAATACAAAATAGAAGGAAGGGTGGTAGAAGTCCAGCCAAAATTGGTCATGCCGAGCAAGACTGACAAGTGGAAGTAAAGAAAGGGCTGAGTATGTGAAAAGCACTTCACAAATCCTTTTCGCCATTACAAATAAAATTTTAAAAAAAAGTGAAAAAAAACCCGCGGGGGGGGAGGGGGATCTATGCGCGAAAATTCACAGGAAATAAATGAAATGGCAACGCGCACCAGACTAGCCAGTGCGATCATGCGTTTTGTGCAATTCGGCCCATCGAATGATTGCCTGTTAATGATTTTCACTGCTTTACTTTAGTAAAATAGTTCAAACATTGAAAAACAGTTAAAAATTTCACGCACCAGCGTATGAAAGCTGAATTCGA